TCAAAACTGTAAAACCTAAAAATCCTTTGCATAAACTAGAAGACTTTGATAACTTATGCTTGGTATAGTTGTCGCAGAGAACCTAACGGGTTACCGGGGCTCCGGCTCGACGTGCAGGAGAAGGAACGGGGTGGTTTTTAGTCAGTAAGAGTCTGACACTACCTTCCGCCTCACCCAGGCGAGAGCAGTCATTCGATGATTTTCCCCCCTTAAAAAAAAAAATGCTTGGTATAGTTAGTTATGTTGACCTGCAAATAGGTGACTAAAATCTCCAATAACTTATGCTTGCAAATAAGTGACAAAATTATTTAAAAACATTAATGGAATTAAGAACATCCTTCTTTTTTGAAGTCGGTTAAAAAGGTGTAACCACAATATTGAGTGTACTCATGTGTCATAAGGAAAAGATGTATCTACCTACTTATGTGTTACATCTTTTAACATACATAATGTTGATTGGCATCAGTATTTGGGATTTACTTGTACGTGCAAAGGGAAAAGTAATTTCTACTGCGTGCATACAAACACGTAGTATTTTGGTTACAATCGTTTTGAAATCAATGACACATTTTTGAGTAATTCAGCCTGGTGATTGTGCGTACCACTTCTAAATATTTTAAACTCGTTTTTGGCGTTAGTAAAAAAGGGTTTTTGTATTTACGTTGCCTAATCTGATTAAAAAAATAATAAAATTGTATAATATATTCATTTTATATGATGCCATAATATTAAGATTGATTAAACCTGGGCATACCATACATAGCATGGCTAGACCGGAGTGATACCACGGCCTCACAGAAAACCGACGTGAAGCAACACTTGCGTTGTGTTTCATCGTGTGAGTGAGGTTACCAGAAGCCCAATTACCGTCCCCTTCCCCAATCTCCCCAATCCTCAAACTCCTAATCCCCAAAATGCCGGTAACGCATTGGTGTTCTAGGTGTCCATGGGCGCCGTTGATTGCTTACTTATGCCATAAAAAAATACCCTAAAACTGTGATCAGCTACCGAAAAAATAGTATTTTTTAAACGTTCTGTAACTTAACTGCCTGGAATACAGGAGAATTATGCCAAAACTCTTTTTTAGAAGGACTTGTTCAGCAGTGAACGGTGTACTTCAGCCGGTGTGTGATGGTGATTAAAATGTGTCAATTTGAATTACGTAAAAACCCTTAACAATTGCTTGTGGACAAAAAATGTAATACAAATGGACAATACAAAACTCGTTCAATCAAACACGTACCTTAACGTTACATCTCAATAACTCGATAATGATTGGATGTCTAAAAAATATTTTACAAAAAACTGTACCAGAAGCAGGGCCGGAGTGTAGGAACAAAATGTTGATTATAAGACAAATAAATAATAATAAATACGACTTCGATTCTGCTAAGTACCATTATTTTGTGTACAATGTTTTTGAGATCACATTAATTCTTAGATCTTCAAAGAAATTTGACATAATTATAATGGAGATGTGTTATTTTTTAAACTTATGTAAAGGTGTTATCTTTAGACGACCAAACAGTTGGACTATGTAGAATTACTGTGCAGTACTTGTTATAATCTCTCAATCTCAGTACATACTGCTACTATTTTGCAGTCAAGTTAACAGCAACAGCACATAGTTTCGTACATTAACATAACTTTACGCCTTTTATCCGCGAAGGAGTAGGCAGAGGTGCACATTATGCCACTGTACAATGTAACTCCCACTTTTCACTAAGTATTTATGTTATGAGTCCTATGTAATAGGGGGTGAGCCTATTGCCTCGTCGGCCGAGTGGTTGCAAGTGCGACTGCCAGGAAACTCAGGAAAGGGATCTCGGGTTCGATTCCTGGGTCGGCAAAAGTAGTACGGGGTTTTTAAAAATTCTCAGTAGTAGCACGGAATCTGGGATTTTGCACATAGTTTCATAACGACTTATAAAAATAGAAGTTAATAAAAACAAGCAACTCAAGAACTCAAGTCCGTCTCTGTTCACTACAACAAGAACGCAGAGTCACGGTTCCTAACTGATTTAATTACGAAACTCTTGATCCCTTTATAATGGTCCACGATGATGCGTACGATGCGTCCAGTATTTTGTTGCTTGTATTCCTCCTATCATGCTAACCAGTGTATCATTAGTACTAACTGTATGGATTGTCGGATATTTGCAAGGTCTTGTTTCTATTTTATTATTTTATTACTGCATGGGTTTTTCAAAAATTCTCAGTAGTAGCACGGAGTCTAGAAATGTGCCCGGTATATGGCATTAGGCATACCCCCTGTTACATGGGACTCATAACATAAACAGTGAAAAGTTACATTGTACAGTGGCATAATGTACACATGTGACATAGATGTCTTGGTGCTGTATAATGCAGTTGACGATGTTAATGACTTGGATCTTCTTATGTAAAGTTGTGTTTATTTGTGCGCTAAGATTTTGAATTAGCATTCTGTTTCGCTTTATAAATAATATGCAAAATAGATCAAAACGATTAACAATGCCACATCACCCTAAAAATAGATAAGTGAAACCACTTAAAATATTCGATTAAACGTAAACTGATATTTTTAACCTAACCCAACCTAAGCAAAAAACAGACATCTTGAATCGAAAGGATATTACCATATTCAGATATACCTAGTTAGCAATTAATATTTTTTACTTATTACCCACATATTTCCCTAGATGCTCGACTATGTCGAATGATCAATTTACTTGAGATCACGTACTGAATGGAACGGGAGTGAGATAATTCTCACCTTTATTTTATTCTCGCAATAAATTCTTTTAGTTAAGGTGAAGTTCGTTTTTGAAATGGTAAATGTGGATGATATGACTATATTGACTGCACGGTTGGTGCGGTGGCTGGGCAACCGGCTGCCGTGCAACGTGACGCGGGTTCGATTTCCGCAGGGAACAACACTTTGTGTGATCCACAAATTGTTGTTCCGGGTCTGGGTGTCATGTGTATGTAAACATGTATGTTTCTAAACGCACCTACGACATAGGGGAAAATCCTAATGTCCTAAAAAGAAATAAATAAAAATATTTACATACATACAAAACAAATAAATGTCAATACCTAGAGCTATTAAATAAGAGAATGTCCCTTTTTGAAGAACCTTCAGGCAAATAAAATTGACTAAAAATCGAGGGTTACTGACGTAAATTTACCGAGAAAAGCTCTACTTACTAGTTTTAAACTACAGAGGGGTTCTTCCTCATGAGCAGCGTGCGCGGTCGCGGCGATGTCGCGCAGCCTACTGGCTAGCGTTGGCGCACGAATCGGTGTTACTACTAGCGCATCTCGCGCCCTCTGCCGGACACCACGAGCGTTTGACGATGTTGAAGCGCACGGTACGTTCACCAGCGGTGCTTTACTTAGTGATAATTTAGAGTCTGGAAGTGATCCTGGTGTATCATACGAAACATACAACTATTGGTTGCTGCCTGTTCTTTTGAGAATGCAAAAGAACAGAATTGATGTTATACCCACTTTTCACTACTAAACTTGGTACACCGATCGTTTGAACAAGATTTATACTTGGTAGGTCGACGTTTGGTCGCCATGATTCAAGAATGATCATTAAAATTATAAATTATACGAAAACAAAATAAAGACATATTTCGAATCCAACCCTTAAAGTCATTAGAAGCTGTGCCCTATATATACCGCTATAAGGTCGTAATTACGAGGAAATACTTAGCACTTATTAGTTTAGAGGCCATTTCTCACCTTGCACAGAAACCGACATTTTTACCTCAGAATTCACTTATAAAAACGTTACCTAGAATTGGATGGATGAAGCTTTGAAAAATTGATATGGTATTTTCAGCATAGAATTTCTGAGGATTGGTTACGGAAAAGTATATGAATAGCGAACACTAATTTAGTTCAAATCAAAATATCTTATGAACTTGAAATCATAAACTTTTTTATCTACACAACTTATATTTTGAAATTTATAATTTTAACTTTGCATTTAACGTACGAATTTTAATGCAAGAAAAAATTCCAACCACTCATGGTTGCAATGCTTAACATTTCACTCATAACTATCTAAATCGCAATTTTTTTCTTTTCCTCAATAGCTTTATTTCAAATGAAATAAGTCTATGTCCGTTCAGATACCGCATCCATACTATTTACTGTCTGTCTATAAAGTCTAGTGCCTCGATGGTCCTTCACATTTATTTCAGAATCATTCAATTGCCTATTTTATACTATTGAGGTGTCAGTGTTTTTGTACTCGTTAAAAAGAAAATAGTCGAGTTATTCGACGTAATTATTTGATTGTTTTCAATAATTTCAGATAAATATATCTTATGAATAATTATTTTCCGATTAAAATGGAAAAATTGTAAAATAAAAGCATGAGGCAGTAAACGAATATAGCGCATATTAACATAGTACAAATTAGATAAAATTGAAAAGAAATTAATTTTATATTTATGAAAGAAAATAAAGAAAGAAAGAAAAACCATTTATTTTGCCACGACACACAACAAGAATTTAGGAACACACAAAAAAGCCTATGGTGAGTCGCAGTTTGTAATCGGCGCCGCATGGACACCCGGAACACCGGAGGCGTTACAAGTGCGTTAACGGCCTCTTGGAGTTTTTGAATTTCAGTATTGTTGGGGATTCAGGGATTGGGGCGATTTGGGAGGACAGGGAAACAGGGATAAATTGGCCCTCCGGTAACCTCACACACGACAAAACACAATGCAAACGTTGTTTCACGCTGGTTTTCTGTGAGGCCGTTGTATAACTCCGGTAGAGTTAGCCCATTCGTAGCGAAGCATGGCTCTCCCACACGTAACTGAGTTGCTGCACACCATCAACTCCATTTATTATAAGTATCCATCGAAAACCCATAAGGCAGATGTCACTAAACTTAGTCATGTGTATTACGCATTTCGATACTAAAAATATTACAAAGCACCTAGGTATATGCATCTTACCAAAAATATTCTGTAGAAATTATAAAACACAATGAAAGTGACAACAGAAATTATGTCCGTGAACAATAACATTTTGCAATCAATGTTTCGATTCAATCGATACTTTTTGGGTACCGATTCGATTCGGTACGATTTATTTACGATATGAAATCGAATGATATGCGCGTATACGAATTTTTAATTTAATGTTTGTACTTGGAATTGTCAGAAGTGAAATGTACTGTGGACCTTGTAATGTCTAAGGGAACTTTATTTTGATAATTAATTTATATATTTTGGACCATGAGACGGCTAAGGGCTGATCATTTTTTAAGAAAACATCGAATGAAGGTAAGTTCTAAAGAAATACTTTACGTCACCAACAAATATCGCATTATTATCAAAAAATAAAAAGAAACATTATAATTTCAAAGAAATTAAACAAAAATAGAAAACTACACAAAAAGTATTTTGACGCGTACCCCTGGTGGGACTCGAACCCACAATCCCCGGCTTAGGAGGCCGATGCCTTATCCATTAGGCCACAGGGGCTCGTTGACGATGCTTTGAAATTGATGATTAAACTACCCCGGGGGTTGAACTGTACAAAAAAATATAGGGCAGACTACAGATAGATTTATTATGATGGTCAAGTGTTACAGTTGCCGTTTTCTTGTTTGCTATTTTGATATCTTAGTTAGAGGTAAGTCTATATGGCAATAGGCTCACCTCCTATTCCATGGCACTCATAACATAAATAGTGAAAAGTGGGTGTTACATTGCACAGTGGCATAATGTGCACCCCTGTCTACACCTTCGGGGATAAAAGGCGTGATGTTATGTTCAAATAGTTTTCGCAGATGGTTATAACCACTCGATTATCAACTCAACATAGCAGTTTGATACATAAAAAGATATAAAAATCAAAGGAGGTAAAATGCAATATAAAAAAGATGCGAAGTGCACTGCATCAGATTAAAGTATCCCAAGACCACCTTATTATGATCCAAACGTTTGGCCGTACTGGATCCATAAAAAAGGGTATTTACTTGGTACTACAGATTGATATGATAGTGAAATTAAGCAATAACACTTACGAAAACACCAAGAGTATGAGACGGCCGTTTGCGGTGGAGTTCATAAAATTTTATATTTTTTCGTGTGGTGTGTGGCTTAGAGGAGAGGATGAAGCGATTTTACACTGATTTGAAAAGTTTAGCTGTTAGTTAAAGTAAATGTAAAATTGTTCATTTAATGATAATCTTAAACGGTAAATGGAATGATCAGATTTTATGAACTTACTTCAAAAAAAAAATACGCTTGTAAGCTAAAATATCATTCAGCATAGACACTGTCTCTTTTTACATTGCTGTCGATAGAGGCAATGAAATGGTTAGTCGTTACGCGAGTATAACAATCTTTATAAAGTAGCTTTACCAAAATAAAAGTTACATTCGTAATAAACATTATGTATAGTTCTGTTTGCCAAGCTGTAAATTACATGTACACGTAATTGTATGCTACCATACACTGACTGACACTATTCAAAATCGCTAAACCGCTCCGCTAATCGCTTACCCGCAAAACCACAACCAATACATGAAGCGTAACGTTCGACGATTTTATTATTACGCTACCGATGTATCGCATATTATCCGACAAAATTAAGTGTCATAAAGGTTAACTGAAGCCGTAACATTTAAGAGGACATTATATTCGGCCAAATAACTACTCGAGAACCCATATAGGTTTTGGTAAACGAAGTTATTGTTACTAATAATTGTCTTGTGTCGACTTGTAGCGAAGATTTTACAAATTAAGTTAAATTTTCAAGTATGCCAGTTAAGTTTATAGCTTAATTTTGAAATTGGGTTTGCTTGTAAAAGGTATTAATGTATTCGTTATTATTATTGCTAGGATGTGATCGCAATGTAAATGGGATGGAACGAAATTTTAAACGGTTTAACGATACGTGTGCTTGATTTTTATTGGATTGGTGTCTTCTTGGAGTCCCATTGTTGATGTAGACTGATGAAAATTTTCATTCATGTTTAAAACCTATTAAACATCAATAATTACTTATGTGCCTGGGGTATTCAATAGCTTAATATTAAGATTTAGCATCGCGAATACGCTTTAATAATTTATTTTTGTTCTTGACGAATAGACTGGAATCACAATCATACCATGATTAGAGTTCAGGGTTGATTTCCAATATAGTATACTTAAATGAATTGAATCTACTTTAATAATAGTCAATAGTCTCAGTCACTATTAAAAACTTATGGCTAATAGATAATGCATATTCCAAAGGAAACAATAGCTACGATGTCGAATACAATCTCAAAGTGCAAGAAAATGCACTAAATCTCAAAAAACAATGTCGTGCTTTGGAATCACGGCATTCGTGAGACATTGGCGGCGATCGAGAATAAATCAGCGATCGGCAGATTGGCGATCATAAGCGTTTGAGCGATATCGCGCGATTCACTAAACTGGATGGGACGGACCACGAATGCGCTATTTCTCACGGCTGCTACAAGGAATTTGGAAGAAAGGATATGCCTAATACAACTCATGTCTAATAGGATTTACATGGCCTTTTTGACTTTAACCCTTTGCGAGTTCCGTCATTATAGACACAATTAAAGAACAATAGGTTGCGGTCACCGGTGTCCTCGCGGTATTTGACAGTTTAATAGGACTTGTCTGGGGGTGATTTTGCAGTATGTTTCAGATTTTTAGTTGAATCATGCTGAAATTTCTTTTTAAAGTTTTAACTGCTGAATAATAGTAAATAATGTGTTTTTATAATAACTATCTTGAGACATAACTAAAAATCACGTGAATATAGTAGAGTAGTAGGGTAGGCTGCGCAACATCGCCGCGACCGCGCACGCTGCTCATTAGGTCACCCTTCTGTGGTTCGCAACTAGTAGTGCTGAATAATAGTTATCTAATTCAGACAGTTAAGACTTTGGTAGTTTAAACAACCTTATTGCTTGCTGCACGAAAAACAAATACTGAAAACGATAAAACAATTCTACATGATCTGCCAATTTCATAGATAGCCTAAATAATCGTACAAAAAAAAATCGAAATTAAAGAAAAGATAATTTAAGCTTAGAAGTATCATCTCCATCCCTTCTTAGCTGCATGTAACATCCGCTATCCTTTTGTACCGCACAGAGGTCATAGTGTAGATCAGGCCAGTCCTAGGCTAGGACTGACCTATATCTAATTTGTACCGTTTGAACCTAGCCTTGTAGGGGACAGGCAGATTATATCGTTTTACCCTTCCTAGGATACTGTAATTGGCGATAATGAGACTATATTTATTTAAAAGTCGGTATTTTGGTTATTCTTTAGTGTTTTTGGATTGGAATTATGATCTTTCGAAAATGTTTTTTTTTTATTTTATTCTTTTTAATTTGAATAATAGTGGTGTTGAGTAAGGATTGATTACCTTCGCGGGTGCCGTAGAGCTGCAGACTAAGAAGTGTGGGTTCATTTTGTTGTGGCATCGCGTCGATTGAGCCGGCCTATTCGTGCCAAAGTATGGTTCTCCCACACTTAAGTTTCTTCAGTATTTAAGTACTTTCAGTCGTTTAGCTTGCGTTTGTAAATCTTGTGATTTGTGATCTTAAAAAAAAAACTGGCTTTACCTTTACCTGGGAATTGAATTAAAGACTACAAATACTCTACAAGTACGACAAGAAAAAATCTAGAACAGCCTTTGATTTCTATTTGTCTTAACTATAAGATCCGAGCCACTACTGTGATTTTGAAACGAATGGAGTTTCTTGCGCGTTCTTCTCCATTCGAATCTACATTTTGGAATGAGCACCTAGCTTCACCTAGTGTCACTGACGGACTGACTGACAGACTATTATTTATTTTGTATTTTTTGACGTTTCAAAAGTACTAAATTATGGTTTAATAGAAATAAATGCTGTGACTTTGACTTTGATTGCTATGGTAAATAACACTAAGGTGTTTATTCTATTGAGCAAATCATGCAAAAATATTTTGATAACTTCGTGGAAAATAACTAATTGCCGAACATCATAAACAATAAATATGCGTCATTTGTCTTTATTAGGCATACTCCACTTTACTCGATGACGCAAAATAGTGTAATGACGACAGTAACACCTACTGATTTCCGTCATTATTCAATTAGATTGATATTATTATTGTGGTCATTTGATTTTTATTAAAAGAGATCGATATAAGCCTTTGTATGATGAACCACATATTAAGACAACGATAATCTGCAGAATTGGGTAGTTTCCTGTGTCAAAAATAAATTAATTTGATTTTTCTATCCCATGAAATATTGAATTACACTTTTATTCATAGATTTCAAAATGTATTTAATTTTCAATTTATTGTAGAGTTTTTTAGACATAAGTGTGCTATTTAACGCGAAAATATATATGATGACGTCATAAGTTGGTATTTCGTACAAAATTCATAGAACAGTATCGTTTTTGACGTTTCGATAAAAGTATTGAATATCTTATTATTCAAGGAATAGTTTGAATTAATTACGAAACTGATCCACAAACAAACGAATCTTTTTTAGTGTAGAATATTGATCCAATTTCAATTCTTAGTACGTAAAACAAAAAAAAATGGTATCTACTAATTCATAAATTACCAACGCTTCATTAGAGTCAAAATAAAAAAAAACAAATAGAGCTGTGTTTTATGTTTTATTACTTTTTAATTGACGGTAGCCCAGTAATGGCGGACGTGTGACGTAAAAAATAATAATTGACATTTAAACATGGTCTAGTTCTGATTGTGAGAGTCGGGTAAGTATTGAAATAACTTTGTGTGATCCGATTTTTTTTTATGGGATCAGCCGGTGAACGTGCTTACGGATCAACATAGGTTAGGTTAGGTAAGCAACTAGCGCTGCTCTTATAAAACACCGAGGCGTTACAAGTGCGTTACCGGTCTTTCGGGAATTGGGAAGCCTGGGGTGTGGGGGGGGGGGGGAATGGGTCTCCGGTAACCCAAAACGAAACACAACGCAAGCGTTGTTTTGCGTCGGTTTTCTGTGAGGCCGTGATATCACTCCGGTCGAGCTGGTCCATTCGTTCCGAAGCATGGCTTTGACATATTGTTGTTCCGGGTCTGGTTGTCATGTATATGTGAACTTGTATGTTTGTAAAAGCACCCACAGGATACAGGAGAAAATTCTAGTGTTCAACGGCAGAAATTGGTATTTTCACCCTTCTCAGTGGTAACTACACACTATTAACTAGTCGAGCTTTTCTTGGAACACTTCATTGGAGTAATTTGTACATTTCTATTAATTTATTTTATTTTTCTTTACAGTAATCCTACTCATCTGTCCCATAATTAGAGCACCGTATTTGAAATTACGTTTCCACGATCATTCATCATCAAATCCTATTTTTATATCATCAATCACAATATAGATCATCGCAGTAGTCTTTGTTTATATTAACTTCTCCGTAAGCTATTATAAAGCTGGTTTACACTTACCTGTGTAAGGCGAAGCAAAGCGATAAGACAGTATTGTTAGAAACTAGCCTTTTTAGATCTTATTTATTTATTTATACACACATACAACATAAAGGACAACACATACATAAAATTAAAGTACAAAGGTACCACCTATTCCTATTGGAATTTCTTCCTGTGGACCTGGAGCAGGAAAAGTAATAATAATCTTACTGTAGCTTCGAATTATTAAACGACAAAAAAGTAAAATACCTAGTTAGAAAAAAATAAATTAACATTTCTGTCTTTATAAATCTTTCAAGAAGTCCTTCAAGCAAAACTAGGAGCTATACAATAATAGAATTAATATAGATTTTTTAGTACCAATAGATGTTTGTCTGCAAAGTAAAGCCATGCTTGAAAAAAATGGTATCGCTTATCACCGAAAAATTATGATTTTACGTCGTTTATGGCCTCGCATCGCCTAGCCTCTGCAATGGAGGCACACCTCAGCATTTTAATTGAAAGGAAAATTTATTATTGTTTTAATTTACTTGACTGTTGCAGTCCGTTCTATGTCAGTAAATCATAGTCCAGTGATTTATTGTACAGCCTTAAAGTTTGCACTTATAACCTGAAACATTGATGACTATTAATGCCAATTTTGACATTCTTACTGTTGAGACCTCATCTAAGATGAAGTAAAGTGAATCGGGGTTCGGCACGAAGTCAATTCTCTGGAAATGTGGTGTAATCTATGTAAATGTCAAACTATTGTATCGTAAAGTACCTAAATTATATTTGCTTTTGTAATTATTATATCGTAAAATATTAGAGATAATTAAGAATTTAAAGGAAAGGCTTTGCAATACAGATTTTACTATTTTTAACGGTAACTCATGTTACTGTTTGACGAGAAACTCGTCTAGTGTCAAGCCTCACTAGGGACTTATAGGTATTCATGAGCAGCAATGTGCAACATAATAAAAGGGAAATTTTTTACTACACCTCTATTTAAAAATAAGCACACAAAATTTCTCCACGAATAACCTACTATATTTAAAAAAATGAACCCTAAAACAAAAATACTGATTAATATGATTTGCACACAAATTGTTGAATATTAGGTGAAGTTAGGTTTTGTTTTTTTTTTCACGACATAAAGATAATGGGTTAGGTTAGATTAGGTTAAGATTTTGTTGCACTCGAAGATTTATTAGATCCAGTAAAACAGTTCAGCTTTAAAATATAACAGTATAGATAAACACACAACAGTATAGTATAATTGATTTATTTGATGAGCAAATTTAGTGTGCAATTCAGTATTTTTGGTGGTAATTTCGAACATTTTGATTGAAAAAAGGGAATTTACAGTTAAAGTATTAAATACCACCCCATAATAATGACGTCGCGAACGTCACACAGACAATGTTACACAGCCTGAGTTAGAAGCATAAAAAACAATTTAGAAAGCTTATAAAACAAACAAATAGCCAACAAACAAGTTCGCAAAAGCAAACAATTTGTTATAATTTATCAAAGACATTTTCTAACCTAAAAAATGCTTGATACAACCGCTTTTCCTGCATAATTGCGAGCACAATTACACACTATTACATGAGTGTTATAATTAGTAATAAATGCTAGTTAAAAGCTGCAATTACGGCATTTAGTCGCGTGCGACCAGAAAAAACTGGTTTCAACTGGTAATTATTAGTTTTTACGAGTTTTCACCGGTTCCTGTATGATTTATTTATGAGTGCACTATGAATTGTGGCGTTTATGTCACTCGTGTGATTTTAAAATGGATTTAGTTTTTTCTAATTCCTATGTAATTAGAGCCTATTTCTTTCTAAGTTGTCGATACTGGAATCAAAAACTTGTTCTTTTTCCTTTAGAGATCTCTCTTATACCTGATTGCTTAGGTATAATTGGGCGGGATCACATTACCAGGTAGAAAATATCCTGTGTTATACTACTATAAGGAACGTTGATCTTAGTCTGTCTTAGGTACTGAATAATATAGTGAAGATAATTTATATATACTGCCTAAGAATAACATAACATAACATAACATCACGCCTTTATATCCCCGAAGGGGTAGGCAGAGGTGCATATTTTTAATGTCACTGTACAATGTAACACCCACTTTTCACTATTTATGTTATGTGTCCCATGTAATAGGGGATGAGCCTATTGCCATATACCGGGCACATTTCCAGACTCCGTGCTACTACTGAGATTTTATAAAACCCAATAATACTTTGGCTGACCCGGGTATCGAACCCGAGACCCCTTGCCCGGCAGTTGCACTTGCGACCACTCGGCCAACGAGGCAGTCTAATACCTAAAAATATTTAAAATAATATTGTATTTATATCATTTTATGGTGACACCAGAAACATTTGCCATGGCTTTCCGTTAAACCAATCGAAACCCAATTAAAATACTTGCTAATTAGTAATTACACAAGAAAAACTGTCCTCATATCTAACTAATTAGACCACGCGTAACACTTAACCAATCGTAGTAAAAAATATAGAAATCGGTCATATAATTATGACATTAAGAATTAAATTTGGTTAATTAATAAGTTAAGTGGACCTTCTATAGGAACCTACGCAATTTCGTGCCATAAAATATAGTTTTTATCTTTCAATTACTTTATGGCTGAGAAAGTATGGCTGTTTGGTTTTAATGAAATATGGTAGGTGTATGTATTTATTTTCTGGTAAGTGTCTTCAATATGACGTATGCGTAACTGTTTGTTAAATACTTTATTCTATTAATATCGCTCACCCACAATTGATTGATACAATATAGGTAGGGTTACATTACGATGACTTAAATACGATACGATAGTGCATCAATCTATTACAGGTAAGCACGATAAGCATTATAGAGGTATACTAAATGGTTTACAAATTACTATGATCAGAGACTGGCAAAAATACAAATATTACAATAGACATTCAAAATTACTAGTAGAATTATTTTATATGTTACTAATATAATATTTTAATCAATTATTATGTTTTACGGCTTACTCATGTAATTATTTGACGAGGAACTCGACTAGTTACATGCTAGAGACTCATATTCACGAGCAGTCGCAGCTACTGAAAATGAATAATTACGTGAGTTAGCTGAAAACATAATAATTGATTTAATATGTCTCACGAAAGTTATAATACATATTTTTTATGCCTGTTTGAGTTATCAAACTCAATGAAGAATTATCAACTTCTTTTTCAATGGCAGTATAGTCGACGAAACTGAATTGGAGACTCGGTTGCCATTCGAGAAGAAAAAACTTATTGTTCTTTTTTTAGATACGACATGGCTTCTTTTTCCATTCTCCCTTGTATTATCATTTATTTTTACACTTCAGAATAATTGGCTTAATATGGTGGCATCTACCAACAGCCAACCTTTTTACTTAAAGTCTCATCACATCATCTTCTCTTATCACTCTTCACACAATCTATCTTATCTTTGGTTGTTCTAAACTTTTTTTATGAGATAAGCCGGTAACCGAGCACGGATCACCTGAT